TACAGTTATGAGTTCAAAAAAATGTCTATAATGGGCGTAAATCTAATATTGAGATATATAATTTTACATGCGGCCCACAGAGCTGTAATTTATTTGGAAAGTGACCCGCAAGATCCTTTGGGTTGGCCACTCCTGGTATAAGAGGAAAACACATTAAAATAATAAATTTCATAATTACCTTCATATAAGAACGTTTTCTAAATTAAAATTAATTTTTGAAGTATCTACCGTGCTAACAACGGTGCCTAATATAGATCGAAAATAATAAAATTTTCTTTCCTTTTATTAATGTTAAATAATAAATTTAATGTTAAAGGTCGTTCGGTCATTCACCTTTCGCATAACATAACGTTCAGCATATGTAAATAGACAATAAAATCTATTTTTTACTTGAAAACAATTCGGCAATCTGTACTATTGTACGTGAACTTTTATAAATTCGTTCGACTTCTCATGAGGATTAGATTTTTTCGGCAACTAAAACGCCTTCAAAGTTAGATTTGATCAACGATTTGACAAATCAGATTGAATAGTGTTGCTATGTTGTATGTTTATCATGACATGTAGTTGACAAAAGTAATCTATATCAATTACTCATGGACGAATTCATTTATCGAAATGTAAAGAAGCATTTGTTTGTATATGTGTTACCGGAAATGTATGAAATCCGTCATTGTACACAATTCCTAGGAAATGTATATAATTCCTAAAATCGCCCGGAAATGTATTGAAATAAATTGTATTAGACACATTTCCTAGGAAATCTATACATTTCCTAAATAGCAATCGGAAATGTATTACAGGTAATACTAAATAGGCAATAATACGGCAGGCTGTTTGGAGATGTACCTGTATCCATTGGTGACGTCATTGTACGGTTATTAGGGAGATTTATGACAAACTGGAGTTTCTTTCGAAGACATTATTCCAACATATCAGGACAGGGGCATTATACAAACTCCAGTCTATCATAAATATACCTAATAACCATTCATCGAACCATCCAAACCTAACCTAACCAACCAATAACGTCAGCAATGCATATACATCAGCCGATCACACTAGAATCGCGTACCCACAGATAATTCTGATTCTGTTTACTAACGTGTTTTATTCATTTTATTCACGGAAAGCATTAGTTTTATACATTTCCTAATACAATATCGGAACTTCATACAATTTCCTAGGATATGTGTGTATTAAAAAATCTTTGAAATAATATTTTATAGATTTCCTAAATGGCCTCGGAATTGTATACATTTTCTAGGAATTGTATACAATTTCTAGATTTCATACATTGCCAGTAACATGCATTTTTTAGATATCAAATTATCCATTTCCATACATCAATTTTTTTGTTGTACCAAATGATACACTTACATCTTTCCTGCCTCCGTCTTCTACTATCAAAATTCAATACATGGGTCGTGCCTGTCTACAGGTTTACAATTAAAAACGGTTTTTTCTTATATATATATAATATGTACGCGAAGAAATTTCTATATACCTAATTCGAATCATTTTATGATCTTACCCAGAAACATTTCAAAAACTCCAAAATGAGACTTCGGTCCCATTAATTTTTCCACTGTACCAGAAGCTGACGACATGGTCTAAAATAATTCGGTTTTACATAACAAGTAAAATACCATTTTTCCATGCTTTACCTCACAAAATCCCTTTTCAATAATAAACAAGGCATGACAAATGTCGCCAGCATAAAGAACGATTTCGTTTTTTGGAAGCACAATTGTTTCACAGCTGGCAGCTATAGTATTTAAGCAATCTTTTGGGAAATTCTGTGACGATATTTAAATATTAATCTCATTAAACATAATTCAATGGTATACCTTAAAAAGTGGGATTTCCATTAAATGATGAGTGAAAATTGCAGCAATATTTTCACTCTGCAGATAATGTGGCAAGTCGTAAAATATACGTTTATTTGTTATAATATTGTATCCCTTATTATATTGCCACTGTAAATTTAAATAATTGTTCCATCTTTTCTGTATGGTAGAAACAATGTCATTCGCTTGTAAATAACTTCTGATCACTTTCACTATTTCTGAGTAAATCGATCTGTAATTTTAATAATGAAATTTTTGTAACTGTTTCACAAAAAATCTGAATTCTTATGGAAGATGCAAATGTTACTTTTCTTCTTTTATTTATTTGATTTAAAGTTCGAAGACTTAACAAGTTTGAAAAGTTGTAATTATGTATCTGGTTTGTAAAGTTACAAAGTGGGAGAGATTTTTCTGATAGGCATATTTAAAGTGATAGATTATGGAAAGGGGGTTGGATACTAAGGTATTTAGAGGGAGGAGGTAGGGTGAGCCGACTGAAGGAAGTTTTAAGGAATAGGGGATAAGATAAGATTAGATAATTCGGGGGAGGCTAAAACATAGGTTAAAAAATGTGACATGATAAGTGTTGAAAATGTAGAAAATAACTTTTTAACGTTTTTATAAAGCTTATAACAATTTCTTTGTTTTTATTTCATTTTATAAAATACAAGCTTTTACCCGCGGTGTCGCTGTTACTGATGTCCTAATTATATGTCAAAGATTATCAAAAATACAATAATTTGATAAACTTGTTCATAAGTCCGGATCAGAATCATCAGAATAAAAGCAAAATTTCTAATATTCTAGATAAAACATCTACTTTGCATAGAATGACAGTAAATAATATCCTTGTTTATCGAGATAAATGGTACCCTGTGTCCTTTTCTGTAGCCCTCACATTATGAGTACAAAATTTCATGATGATTGGTTGAGTAGTTACGGCGTGAAATCGTAATAAACAAACTCACATTAACATTTATAATATTATAGTTAGGATGAAAATAATGGAAACATTTCGAGTTAAAACTACTAATATAGAAGCAAACATAAAATGAGTTCTTCAACTTCTTCAATTAAAACTCCAGAAAATTTAATGGGTTTGAAACTAACAAAGTAGGTACATATTTTGTTCTTACTTCGAAGTGTAAGCCAGCATTAGTGTAGCTGAATAGTCGGCTATTAGGTAACAAAAAGCAAGTGTTCCAATATAGAAAATCGCAGTGACGAGAACGGTTTCATAAAAATTATATGCCGACACTACGGCGAATCCAATCTGGGTAACTGCTGCCATTGCAAAATAAAGAGAAGCAACAAATGGTTGATTTGTAAGTGTACCACCGTATTCAGATTCCTTTTGTTTTTTCACCATAAACCAGCCATCATCTGAGCAAATTCTAAATAAAGCGATATTAAAAAGAGATCGCAATAAAAACAACTAGTTAGTTGGGTAATTTTCAATAAATAGTTGAGGAAATAAAGTATTAAACTTTCGAATTTTGTGCACTGAGTCGGTTTTTTGAATTCGATTCGTGGAACACCGTCTACAATTTTTCTGAACGTAGGAAATTAGTCCAATTTTGCTACTCGAGGGTTGTGAGAATCGCTGAATACGACATGGAGTCGGCGACAGCCTTCAAGGTATCTGGGGCCCAGGGCGACCGTCATTTATGAAATTAAAGCAATATCTTGGAAAAAACCAATATCATTTATCAAATTATTGATCATCGGACCCAAGGTACCTCGGAGGCCATCGCAAACATGACTCCTGGAGACGACGAGTATGATGGTCTACTGTCGCGGACTGCATATTCGTGTTCATTGACTCTCAAAACCCCCGAGTAACAAAATTGGAATTATTTCTATCATTATTTACCGAGCTGGTTTTTTTTATAACAACTTTGCGTTGGATGAGTTACAAAGGTAGAAGAGTGACACTTAGTTTGTATAAAGAGCAAGAGGCAGTTATAGAGCTGGGGATGCAACGTAAGGAAGTAAATATTAGGAAGGGAGTCTAACAGGGATGCACACTGTTACCGTTACTTTTTAATCTGCACATCGAAGACGCGATCAACATCATTATAGACAGTACAAATGTAAGGATAGATATACAGGGGCGAAAGATTACTATGTTTAGATTTGTAGATGATATAGCAGTATTAGCATCTGGCAAGGGAGAGTTAGAGATAGCTTTAAATAAAATGGAAGCGGTACTGACAAAACAGTACTGTATGAAAATAAACAAAAGTAGACCAAAAATACTAATTTGCAGGGGAGGAAAAGGTAGAGAAAGAGCGAATATAAAGATAGGAGATGAAAAATTAGAACAAGTGGCTGATTTTCTGTATCGAGGAAGTCAGATTAGTTAGGACAGAAGGAGTACTAGGGATATAAAACAGAGGATAGCGTAGTCGAGTCGCATTTAATAAAAAGAAGTCACTCCTATGCACGCGAACGGTTACTTTAGAAATTCGAAAAAGATTGTTAAAGGTGTATGTTTGGAGCGCGGCGCTGTACAGAAGCGAAACATGGACAATGGGCGCGGCGGAAAGAAAAGGTTAAAAGGTAAGAAAAGGTTAGAAATGTAATATTACAGGCGAATGATGAGGATACCGTGAATAGAGAAGCTTACAAATAAAGAGGTGTTAGAAAGAATAGGAGAACAAGGGACTCTATGGAAATTAATAAGAAATAGTCGAGATAGGTTAGTAAGACTCCTTCTCAGGCATGAAAGTCTAGTCAGAGACATATTGGTGGCAGAAACGGGAGTTAGGAGGGGTAGAGGTAAACCTAGATTAGATTAGTGTTCGCAAATAGTTAAGGATGTGGGATGTTCTAGTTTCAAGAAAAAGCGAAGATTAGCTGAGGATAGGAAAGAGTGGACGTGCGTGTCCAACCAGTCTGACGTCCTTATGATGATGATAATGATGATGAACAACTTTGTAATGCATTTGTAAGACTGTGTTTTTCTTATGCAGTTATGAAGATGAGACTCAGTCTCTTATGTTCACAAAGTTTGTAGACGGTCTCACAAATCGAATGCAGAAAACCAAATCTCGATCCAACTTACTGCACAAACATTCGAAGGTTTGATCTATTTTTGTGCTTTATTTCTTCCACTAAAAAGGTAATCCGAAAAAAAAAAATTGACGGACTATGTATATCACAGAAATTATTTTATTTTGTAGTAGATCATTAAATTTTACCAAACTACACAGCTTCATTTATAGGTGAAATTAACTATTCTACAAAATCCATAATATTATATCACTGAATTAGCAGTTTCTTCCTAAATAACTGGTAATGAAATGACTCCCTGAATATTATAAATTCAATATTTTGAGAAAGTAGATTACTTACTCATAAAAACATGCCAATATGTACAGAACGGAACCAAAGAAGTAGGAAAGAAAGAAGATGTACGTGACATACTTGATGTATCTAACTAATGCAACGTTAAAGTTCAAACTATCTTCAAGTCGCTTTACTATGAAGTAAGCCTAAAAAGTTTAAATAAATGAATAACAATTATCTAACTAATGGAAACATACGTGATGAACAAAATTAGTCTTGTCGTTATACACTTTAAGGTGAAAATAATGAAAACTCATAAACATATTCAGATACGTACGAAATACTTATTAAAAGTCAACAGGCCAGAAAGCTTTCACTTGAATAAAAATTTAATAAAAAGCAAAATTATTGGTTTAAGTTNAAAAAAAAAAAGCACTGAACTGTCGAATTTTGTGCACTGAGCCGGTTTTTTTGCATTTAATTCGTGGGACACCGTCTACAATCTGTGTAAACGTAAGAAATTAGTCCAATTTTGCTACTCGGGGGTTGTGAGAATCGCTGAATACGACATGCAGTCGGCGACAGCCTTCAAGGTATCTGGGGCCCAGGGCGACCGTCATTTATGAAATTAAAGCAATATCTTGGAAAAAACCAATGTCATTTATCAAATTATTGAGCATCGGGCCCAAGGTACCTCGGAGGCCGTCGCAAACATGACTCCTGGATACAACGAGTATGATGGTCTACTTGAGGTACATAGAAGGCTGTCGCCGACTGCATATTCGTGTTCAGTGACTCTCAAAACTCCCGAGTAACAAAATTGGAATTATTTCTATCATTATTTACCGAGCTGTTTTTTTTTATAACAACTTTGCTTTGGATGAGTTACAAAGGTAGAAGAGTGACAGTTTGTATAAAGAGCAACAGGCAGTTATATAGCAGTATTAGCATCTAGCAAGGAAGAGTTAGAGATAGCTTTAAATAAAATGGAAGCGGTAGTGTATGAAAATAAACAAAAGTAAATCAAAAATACTAATTTGCAAGGGAGTAAATGGTAGGGAAAGAGCGAATATAAAGATAGGAGACGAAAAATTAGAAGAAGTGGTTGATTTTCTGTATCGAGGAAGTCAGATTAGTTAGAACAGAAGGAGTACTAGAGATATAAAACAGAGGATAGTGTAGCCGAGTCGCATTTAATAAAAGGAAGTCACTTCTATGCTCGCGAACGGTTAATTTAGAAATTCGAAAAAGATTGTTAAAGGTGTATGTTTGGAGCACGACGCTGTACAGCTCCGAAACATGGACAATGGGCGCGGCGGAAAAGAAAAGGTTAAATGGTTCGAAATGTGGTGTTACAGGCGAATGATGAGGATACCTGAATAGAGAAGGTTACAAATGAAGAGGTATTAGAAAGAATAGCAGAACAAGGGACTCTATGGAAATTAATAAGAAATAGTCGAGATAGGTTAGTAGGACACCTTCTCAGGCATGAAAGTCTAGTCAGAGACATATTGGAGGCAGAAACGGGAGTTAGGAGGGGTAGAGGTAGACCTAGATTAGATTAGTGTTGGCAAATAGTTAAGAATGAGGGATGTTCGAGTTTTAAGGAAAAGCGAAGATTAGCTGAGGATAGGAAAGAGTGGAGGTGCGTGTCCAACCAGTCTTAGGACTGGCAATCTTATGATGATGATGCTGAACAACTTTACAATGCATTTAAAAGACTATTTTTTTATGCAGTTATGGTGATGAATTGATCTCTTATGTTCGCAAAGTTTGTAAACGGTCTGACGAATCATATGGAGAAAACCGCACCTTGATCCAACTTACTACACAAGCATTCAAAGGTTTGACCTATTTTTGTGCTTTATTTCCCCGACTTAAAAGGTAATCCGAAAAAAAAAAATTGAGGGACTATGTATATCACAGAAATTATTTTATTTTGTAGTAGATCATTAAATTTTACCAAACTACACAGCTTCATTTATAGGTGAAATTAACTATTCTACAAAATCCATAATATTATATCACTGAATTAGCAGTTTCTTCCTAAATAACTGGTAATGAAATGACTCCCTGAATATTATAAATTCAATATTTTGGGAAAGTAGATTACTTACTCATAAAAACATGCCAAAATGTACAGAACGGATCCAAAGAAGTAGGAAAGAAAGAAGATGTACGTGACATACTTGATGTATCTAACTAATGCAACGTTAAAGTTCAAACTATCTTCAAGTCGCTTTACTATGAAGTAAGCCTAAAAAGTTTAAATAAATGAATAACAATTATCTAACTAATGGAAACATACGTGATGAACAAAATTAGTCTTGTCGTTATACACTTTAAGGTGAAAATAATGAAAACTCATAAACATATTCAGATACGTACGAAATACTTATTAAAAGTCAACAGGCCAGAAAGCTTTCACTTGAATAAAAATTTAATAAAAAGCAAAATTATTGGTTTAAGTTTGATTGCTGTGAATAATAATGAGTTTATTATTTTTACTAACGAATATATCGTACTTTATGTTTGGTTCAAACTAGGTTGATAAATTCTATATATGAACCAGAAATAATTCTTAAAAACTTTCATTAACGCCGTTTAAAAATTGTTTCGCCTTACCTCAAGTTTCCTTGATAAGACGACACAATAAAACGTCAGGTATTTGTACCATTCGATCTAAATGAAATAATGGTTCTATCTAATTTACCTTATTTAATTTTAATATCCTGTTAACTGACAATAAAGCCAAAATTCTTGATCGTCGTTTATTTTGTACCAACAGTGATATATGGTCAAATGGTATTGCAGCAACTACGTCCATCACAAACGTGAGACTGCGACATCTCAAAAGGCAAATATCAACAAAATTTGTTACGGTACCTACGATATCGACCATTATTTATAATTAACCAGTTCAAGTTATTCTATTAATTATAGTACACACTCAACAGAACGTTTTAAATTTGTTCATATTAACGAATGTTGCATTTAATTTACAGTAATATTAATTATAAAAAGGTAAAATTTGTAAGCTTGGATGTAAGAGGTAATTTCTGAAACTACTCATCCGATTTTAAAAATTCTTTTACCAATATTTAAAATTGACCTTCAGGATAAACACGGGCTATATATAAATAAAAATGAAAGGGATTTTCGTATGGAAACTCTGTAAGGTGACGAAATACTGATCAATCGAACGTTTCGCTGCTTTGACAATTACAATAATGAAATACCATTTGCCAAAGAATTCAGAAATCATCAGGAAATGAGACACTTTGAATGCTTTAGTGCATTAGCATCAAAATTAATTCATGAGAACGTTTGGCTTATTTTTGAAGATTTTTTATTTGTTTACAGAACACCTTCTCTTATTTCTCCAGCTAATTTTACTGTAGACTTCTACCAAATATATCTAGGATTTATAGCAATAACGTAACAGAATCGTCGAAATATCAATTTCAAAAAAGGGCAATGGACGTTCGTTTCTATAACCGAAGGTTTAGTTTGTTCATACGTTATGCGATGTTCACACTATCGAGTGCCTACTGTATTTTGAAACAAAAAAATATATTTATCCTGGATGACTTTAGTGTAAGAAACATCCAGAAGTTTCGGGAAAGCTACAGAAAATTACTAACAATTATTGGTAAAGAAGTCGATATAAAAGTATAACTTTTTAGAAATTTTTGCAATGGGGCAGAGAATAGTGACATTTATAGAAAAAAACTTTTAATTACCTTGTTCGGTTTCAATTCCAGTAAACAATTTAATTATTACGTCAGTGACGAAGGCGAAGTCAATTAGGGTAATTAACATTTCCAGTTGATAAGAAAAATGTCTTTCAATCGCAATTTCGTAAGGGTATGAAATTGCAATGATTATTAACAAAAAGAATAAAAAACCATCCCACACGTCTGTAAATTTTGAACTAGGCTGAAATATCCATGGCCATGTGGTTTGAATATAGACTTCATCGTTCTTTTTAACCGATGCTTCGTGCTACAATAATGTACCGTTAGTAATGAGTTATTATTATTAAATTGTTTTTAATAGAAAAACAAGCGGAAATTGAATAAAAGAGATGGCAGAACCGACAGTTTAACAACTTCGAGATGCAATATTTTGATCAAAAATCTGGATAGTTTTACCCTTTGCATAAATCGAAACATTTCAGTGTTGACAATTTGATGAGAATTTCTAAAATCAGAAAGAACTGAACTGATACTGCCATGATACTGCTATAGGTCGTCATGTGTTGAAGTTGTTTTCTAACGTTTCGCTACCGCGAGTTCATGACGATCTTCTTTAGAGGTCCTTCTTTCTCCGATGCTGGACGTGGACTCGAGATCAAAGGACCTCTGAAGAAACTCGCCATTCGTGCTAACGAAACGTTAGGAAGAAACTCCAATCGACGACGACCTTTGAACCCGAATCAAGACAGCATCAGTTCACCAATTGGCCGCGAAAGCCTTTACCGATTTATCAGAAATAATTGATAGAAGTACTTAAGTGTAAATTGGTCTAACATTTGCTCAAATTATAGGAAGAACTGGAGGTACCTGACCAACCAGCTTTTAGACTGAATGCTTTATGATGATAATCAGATATGTAGAATACAACAGAAAAATTTAATAGAGCCTTTCACATATGTGATACGTAACAGTGAGGCGCGCAACAAGGGGGCGGGGTCCGCGGGTGCCTGAGCACCCAATCGATTGGGTTGGGCACCCAGTTAATTCCAGTCGATTCAGATAATAACCCAACTTGAAAGTTCGGTTCAAGTAGTTCGTAAATGGGCAGCCCAACTCGATCTTTTCAAGTATAAGAAATTCAGTACTTTGGTGACCTTTTTTTTATTTAGTCATTTATAGTATTATGATGGGAGCACCTAGTCAAACTGTAACGTTATTACTCCCTTAGTAACAATTGTGAAATAGATCCTAGTTCAGGAGTGACCAACCCAAATAATCTTGAGGGCTACTTTGGAAATAAATCATAACTCTCCGGACCGCATACAAAATTATATACCTAATCCATATTAGATTTAGACCCACGATAGACATCTTTTTGATTACGTAAAGTCATTAATAAAACAGGCAATGTGTCATATATTCACTAGAACATTGTTTTAATAGTCAATCTTTTTTTTTTCTCATAATTTGAACAATTTTTGAATATATGATTGCACAAATAATGCATTTTTGGATGAGGCTATTCACCGGTACCGTACCGGTTACTAAGAAGCTATTCACTGGTACTATAGCCAAGAAACTAAAACTTAAAACTTTTGGGTGTTTCATTCCCACCAGCCAGTAATGTTGAAGTAATCTATATCAATT